GTTTACCATTGTCTTTTTCGATAACCCCTATCGAGTAATACATCATTTGAAAGGGAATGAAGAAGGAACTCAATTGCAAATACTGGAGGGCACTATCGATGTCCGATCCAAAATAATGGCCTACTAAAAATGGAAGTTTATCAAGCTTAGATTGGCCGCGCGTTTGACACAGGAATTAAAAAAGGACTTGAAATCGGAACTAAAAATTTGCATTTTTTTGTGCTTGTCTTTTGAACAATGAATTTATGGTCTGTCTTGCTCTCATCAAAGTAATCCCTTCACAATTTTGAGAGACCTCAGAAGTTGTTTCCTTTCATCCGAGGGCACTCCAAAATTTCAAGCCTCCATCTCAATTTGTTCAATAGTTGCAGGGACCGTGTGGGATTTTAAGACTTGGTAGAATACCAGTGAATGAGATATGGTACCTGCAGTCAAGTCGCTAACTAATTTTCGCCAAAACTTTCAATTAAGCGGTTTTGTTCCGTAGCCCTCGAAACGAATTTCTATAGTTTCACCATCGTTATGCTATTATTTATTTTACAGTTACCTATTGAATATGAAGAGTCAAAAGAAGAAGACTGCAACGAATTAGAAGAGTTAGGTGCCTCCAAAACTAAAAGTATTACCGAACACGGTGAGGATAAAGTGGTAAAAAAGGAGCCAGAAGAAACGAGTGACACCCCACCCGCAGCCAAGCGAGCAAAAGAAGTCAAGAAGGATAAGAATATTTTCGCTCTAGTCGTCGATCCTAATCAAGTCAAATCGCAGAAAAAAACCTTCAATACAACCATCATACCCAGAGCCATCCTTCCTGCTCCCACAGGAAATTTTGCATCTTCTCCATCCACTCCATCCAGAAGCATCGATGGTAGACCTTTCGATGGGTTATGTCAATATATCGGTGAAACATTAAGGTCTCTGCCCATCGGACAAGCCAGGAAGCTTGAACAGCGGCTTCTGACATCCATGATTACATTCATGTCTAACTTAAATGATACTTAAGTCACTTCGCTGCCATTCATTCAAATTTTTCCAGTTACCCATATTGTAAAGTGAAATAAAGTGTTTTTTTGTACCCATATTAGAGTCCACACTCTCTCATGCCCGTATGGCAGGTAATTAAACTGAATGTCAAAACATTCAACAATTAAATTTTTATTTTTTATATTATATTTTATATTCTCTTACTCTTTTTCTCTTCTATTTTCGCTGTGTTACTGTCTCTTTGACTGTCCTAGTCTCAGTCTGTAATGCAGTTAATGTTTTGAGTTAAAAATACAGTTAATGTGCAGCTTTTGAAATATTAGTCTCTGGGCTCAATGATATTGAAAAATTTTAGTCAAAATTAACTGCCTCGATCTCATTGGGTAGCTTCTGTTTCTCATCTCATGTTCCTACGGAGCAAACAGCTGCAAGTAAATTAATGTGTTAAATTATTCATTCAACTCAACTGCTATATGTTAACAGTTAAAGTACCATTTCTAAATATATTTGAGCAGCCGAGTCCATTTTATTGTTTAAGTTATTGTGTAATGCGGTCAACATTCTATCAAAGACATGCTAAATTTTTTTAAGGAAAATTTTTATACAATATAATAAGAAATTTTGAAGTATGTGCCAGCAAACCATAAAGTAATTCTGAATGGAAATTGTATTTTAAAATAATTAAACAATTGAAGAGTTTACATTCGATTAAGTTTTTCTATGTTGGACAAATAAATTTGACGTTAATCAAACCTGTTGGCAATCGATTTATTCAATCACATTAAATCATCATCTTTTTTTCCCACAAGTGTGTTTTTACCCACTGCACCGTCTCAAACTCAGCATGTGAAAGTAGTCACCTATTATTTCTTTGTAAACTTAATGCAGTAAATGCAACCTCTAAATCAACAGTCGAAGGCTAAAAGCACCCAGGTGTTCTATCAGAATTAGCAGTACCTATCCGTATGACACTCTGAGGGCGAAACTCCCAAACCACATACCTCAGTTCCGATGGTTTAAAATCCCCGCACCTATTCGCTTTTTTAAAGGAGAACAAATGAACATGATTCCTCGGAGTTTTCACAGAATTTCTTTTTCACGGAGAGTATAAATCGCGGCAGTTTACAATAATCTCCGTAGAGTAATTTTCCGTTTAAAAAATAAAGCATGGCTGGAAGTTTGCTATGTCGCAAATCGAGATACGTGGTTTGAAAGTTTCACCGTTGATTTCAGTTCTGTTGTTCAGGCCAGTGGCGTGGCGTGCTTTACGATAAATCGATTGTTATGCCATTTAAGCCCGTGGAAAAGAATCGATAAACAGGGTGTTCGCAGCGAACACCTTAGTAATCGATTCTTTACCATATGTTTAAATGGCAGAACAATCGATACATCGCAATTCACGCCACGCCACTGGTTCAGGCTGTCAAAAACTATGGAAGCATTAGGCAATTTTTAGGAGCAATCATGCTATTGATAAACTCATATTTATTTCCAATGCTTGTTACAATACAAAGTATGACTCAGTCATTATTTTTCAACAAGTTGGAGTTCTTTACAAAATTTTACCGATAAGGTAAACCTTGCATTTAAAAAATTAAATATTGATCACTTGGCAGTGTGCTCTGAAGTTCAATTTTCGTAATTATTAACAGGGTGCCTACAATCTGAAAAACTGGGAACTATTCGGAATTTTTATCAGATCAGGAAAAATCCGGGGAATGCGAAATTTGAACCCGTGGGCCAAATGCTGCAGAATTAAACCTACTGTACATTAGTATCTTATTTTATTTTTTCATCCTTAAAGACCCCTTTGCCTAACTTAATGAGTATCGCATTTAATCATAGACCTACGTACAGCAGTAAACACATTTCAATGTTGCGTGTATTACACCACTGCCAGGATGTTCAGAAGGAAGAAAGAAAAATAAAAGAAACTGAAAGAGTGTATAAGACTACCAAACAATAGAGTTGTTTACTTTTTTATTTAAAATCTCGCGGGAGAGAAGGTGCACAATTTCAATAACACTTAAGTGCACAATAGTTCTGCCGTGCTAAGGAAGAACGCCGTATGAACATTAGATAGTTGCCAAATTTCCTCCGATAAAATATTTATTTTTTAGAAAAGTTATGTATATTTTTCCGAGAAGTTTACAAGAACTTAAAAAAAAATTGTGAACAAAATTACCTGAAAAATTGGAAGAAAAATATTTACAAAGTCTCCCGAAAACTCGTGATTTACCAACGGAAATTTGGCAACGCCTGAAGGCTCATACGGCGTTTTTTCCGAGCACGGCAGAATTGTACACGCTGCTAAACCTTGCCCCCGAGACACAATATTCTACCGTTAAGGCTCCTTCAAAAAAGGTAGAAGCAACATGCCTCACAGCAGTGAATTGTCTGTCAGCTGTGTAGATTGTAGGGTCTCTTTAAAACTGGACGTAGATTTGTAGATATGTTAACAATATCATTTAGACTGCATTCTGCACATTAGGATATGCCTATTTCTGTTTCAATTTAGAAGCAACATACCTATGAATGCTTTGCCAGAAAAATGAGACTGCAGAATGCTAGTTTTGAGGTTAACGAGTTTGAGAGTTTTCTTTGTTCTCCACGTAGATACACAAGTGATAGAATTGTGCAACTGAGCAAAAGTTTGTGTCAGTGTTTAGGTTACGTTAGTGTTGACATGTGTTCCAAAGACTGTGATCAATCCGTATAAGTTATGTCCGTTCCCTTCGTTGAATGAATCGTAAGAATGGAAAGTAATGAAGGTAGCAGCTGAAGAAAAACAAACATGTACATCTTTCGAAAAACGAAGGTGAAAAATTTTCTTTGGTTTTACGAAAAGAAAAAAAATTCAATAAGAGATACAAAAATCAGATTTAATTAATGATATAGCTCTCTAGACTTTAAACAATTCGAATAGGAGCTTAGGGTACTCCTCAAAAGTCATAATATTCAATACTTAAAAATAAATGAAAGTTGATCATCAGCACTTGATGACTTAATAAATTTGGATTTTCTTTGAAAGAATAAAGAACTATACTTGGAGGAAGAAAAACATGTTCCCTCATTATTTGTTTGCATGTGCAATTTTTTTAAAATACAATGTCTTTCGAGTAACGTAAAGTTTTAATTCTAATCATTTTTTAAACGTAAACTTTTCTGTGAACAATGAACAAAACCCTTTTTTTCCAATTAGAAAAATTTTCCTCCTTTCAAAAAAGTTCTACCCCATCATAAAAAAACAAGTAAGCCAATGATTTTATTTAAGTCGAAGAACATTTTCTTTTAATTGAAGAAAACACATCTTTCTAAACAATTTTTTCAGAGATTAGTCAATGTTGAAACATTTCTCAACGCCGCCTCAGTGCAAAATTCGAACAGGTATGGAATGCTTGGTGAGATTGGACCTTTCTCACTATCAGAGAATACTGACTTTAATTCCTTCCTGATTAAGCCCTTAATGCCAAAGAAGTCTAACTACTCCAGAAGTCCTTTTTGGAAGTGGAAGGGGGCTAATCTGCATTAGTATGTACAAGGCGTATAAATTGTCACATCTAGACCCATGCGAATACAAATGCGGTCAATTGGATTAAAGATATTTTTTTCTATGTTTTGTGTGTTTAGAGGTGGATAGAAGATCAAATTTCGACTATACCACTGTCTCAGCCTAGGCCAGTGTTCAGTGGCAAAAGATCCCAGTCGCAAGCGGTCAATAAAGACAGGGATCGGAACCGCAAGATATAGCGTAGACGGGGATTGAGGTCTGTTCGGTGTTAATTAGAAGGGAAGCCCTTGTTTATAAAAAAAGGCTTGTTCTTTTCTGTTAAGCTGGATCCACTTAGCCCTGTTATCTCCACGCAGGCGCAAGTGAACTTTCTCCCAGCGCCAAAGGACTGGAACGCCAGGGATCGAAAGCGTGGCAGCGGTCGAAAGGACACCGAGTCCCAGCCTTGATGTTGTTTTGGAAAGGCACTCGAATAGATCTGTGCTAATCGATAGGACGCGGATAGAGTTAACACAGAGAGTCAATGCATTTATCTCTATCAAAAGGCGAACGTGGAGGAGAAGGAGGGGCAAGGGGTAAAATGCAGAACGCGGTCGTGGTTGGCCCCTGATGGACGATGCGGGATTGCGGGCACGACCCAATCTCCCGTACTAAGGAAGAACGCCGTATGAACCTTCAGGCATTGCCAAATTTCCCTCGATAAAACAAAAATTTCCTGGCCAACTTACGAATATTCTTCTTCAAATTTTTCAGTTAATTTTGCTCGCAATTCCACCGGAAAGTCCTGAAAATTTCAAGGGAAAATATTCAAAAGTTTCCTCAAAAAAGAAAATTTTATCAAAGGAAACGTGGCAACTTTCGAATGTTTATACGGCGTTCTTCCTTAGCACGACAGGAATGGACAACGGCACCTTTGCCTTTGCGAGGAAATCCGGGGTCCAGGCGGGCGTCGTGGCTTGCTGCGCCGCACAGTGGATCGATACGATTAGAAAGGTCGGACATGACATTTTTTTACTAAAACTGCAAATCTTGATGTTTCTTCCATCACATTTGAATTTTAAAGGGTGCCTTTAGCAGAAAATTTCGCGAGAAAACCAATGGAACCACTTTCAGAGCCTCAAAGTTTAGTATGAACGGAGTTATAAGCGTTCCAAATTTTGTCCGACCTCTCCTATTGACTGGATCCACTGTGCGTCAGTCACCTCCGCCTTGATAAATTGATAATATTGGTGGCGGCGCGAGGCGCGAGGTGGCGAGTCAAGGCGGCCAACTGGCCGGGGTCCGGTGAATGTAAGATGCTCGGATACGTGATTTTTGACACATCTCCTCTCGGATATGGACTACTTTCACGATGCGGATCTGAGATGGACGCCGAGCCGGGGCGAACTGCGCGGTGTCGGTGCCGGCGCTGCTGCGGTGACGCGCGCACATATCAAGACACTAATATATTGTGGCCTACTTGTTTGATATTGCGACTACTGGTTTTACTCGCCGCGCAGCGCGGACTGCGCACAGCGCCATCCTCCGCTCCAACCGGTCCGTATCTTATCAGTAGATGCTGGAAATAATTGACCGCGAAACCGGAGGAAATGTGCGATTCGATTATGGGACTCCGCGAGTAATCGCCTCACATCTTCGTTATGCAAATGCACTAACAAGCCGCCGCAATGGGAATGGTTTGGCGGAGGTTTTAAGAAAGCTACCGATCGCGGCACGGTGGCTACGATTCGCTCCTCTTTTGGCCGTTGGCAGGGCCGGATTCGCCATTGGGCTGCCTAAGAGCGCAACATACCGCGAGGCGCCAAATTTTTGTGGGTGAATTCTGAAACGTGACTACCTATACGCATTAGAATCCTCTCTGGTCGGGATAGGGGGAGGGGGTTGATTGGTTATGTCCCATACCCTCTCAGCACCAACAACCTTTCAGTTATGAAATCATCTCGAGAGGTCAATTTAAAAATCGAGAATACGGTGTGAGCTGCAACTAGTAATAAAGTTTTGATTTCTCTCGAAGAGAAAGAGAGAGAGACTTCCCTCACAGGCATTCTGTGTAGAGTTTTCCTGGATTGACATTGTCTATATTGTTCGATCGTGGAAATGGAGCTCTTGCGTGTGTAGGGAATTTGCGATTTAAGTAGGTACTTTTTCTCCAATGAACTTTTGCGAGAAACACGATAGCCTCACTAGTTCTCTCTGAAACGAACTCCAAAGTTAATAAAAAGCTCTTTAAGTTGTGGCAAG